TTGGAAGGCTGAGGCGGAAGGATCGCCAGAGCCCAGCAGGTCTAGGCTGCGGTGGCTGGAAGCGGCCACTGCACTCCAGTCTGGGTGACAGAGTGAGACTCCAACTCAAAAAAAACTCAAAACAAACAACAACAACAACAACAACAACAACAAAAAGTTAGAACCATCTGTCATTCACAAAGTTAGAACCACCTGTCATTCACAGGCAGTGCTCAGGTATGTTCAACATTAGCCCATTGTGCTTTTGCTATTGTATGTTTGAGTACACACACACTTTAAAACATGTGTGTCCATTTATCCAATGTCACATTGTTTGTGCTATCAGTCACAGGATCCTGCATCCAAAAATGATAGCACTTGATGACTAATTTTTTTTATTTTTATTTTTTTTGAGTTGGAGTCTCACTCCGTCGCCCAGACTGGAGTGCAGTGGCCACTCTCGGCCACCGCAACCTCGACCTGCTGGGTTCTGGCGATCCTTCCGCCTCAGCCTTCCGAGTAGCCGGAATTACAGGCATGCGCTACCACGCCCGGCTGATTTTTGTTGTTGTCATTTTATTGTAGAGATGAGGTCTTGCTGCCCAGGCGGGTCTCGAACCCGCGGGCTCAGGCAATCTGATCACCTCAGCCTCCCAAAGGCACGGGATTACAGGCTGAGCCACCGAGCCCGGCTTGATGACTAATTTAATAACTACAGACTTCAGCATATGTACAAAGCTTCCCCCCCACCTTTTGTTTCATAGAGATGAGGTCATGCTATATTGCCCAGGCTGGTCTCAAACTCCTGGGCTCAAGCGATCCTTCCACCTCGGCCTCCCAAAATGCCGGGATTACAGGCATGAGCCACCAGGCCTGGCCAAAACCCATTTTTAATCGGAAACTGAAGACCCAATAAACAGTGTTTCTCTGTTTGGAGTTTTTCTGAGTCCATTTTTCCACCCTTTGAATACAGTCACCCACCATTGCTTTGTTTTAAAAGTCAGGCTTCTGGTTTCAGGACACCACAGTGTAGAGTCACTTTTTCCTCCTTCTCTCCTCTAAATACAACTAAATACCTTAGAAGTTACTCGACAATGAGAAGACGTCAGTAGGCTGATGAGGAGACTCGGGACTTAAGGGACAGCAATGGAGCAAGTCCCTTGGTTTTCCTCCCCCCCCCACAGACTGGGCTCCAGAGAGACTGAAACCCAGAACAGCCAACAGACACAGATAGAACAAACAAAACAAGAAAAGCTTGCTGGCTCTGGCCAAAGATGGGACTGGAAAAGCCCCATAAAGACCTCGCGAGGATGCCCTGCCCTGACCCCACAAGGGTCAGGGGTTACAGTCAAGTTGCCCAGGTCAGTAGCAGCAACAGCTCTGACCACCCAGCAGTGTCAGGAGACCCAGGGCCAGTAGTGTCTGGCAACCCCTCTGCAGAAGGTGGCCTGGTGACACTATGTGACCCAGGGATGCACCCTCTGACTCAGTAGAAGACATCAGCAGGAGTTGAGGAAGAGCCCAGCAGTGCCCAGAAAAGCAGCCCAGGACAGCCTGCGAGGACTCTGGAAACTGTAACTTTCATTGGAACTAAACAAGATAGAGGGACCTCCATACTGCACCCCTGACAGACTATGGCCTGCCGAAGTAGGAGGCTTAAAAAGGGAAAGTAGTGTGACAGCCCAAATGTTCAGGATGCAGTTTGAAATTGCATAGCATGTGGAAAGCCAGGAAAACACACCCTAAATCAACTGGTAGCAACATCAAGATGATTTAGATGTTGGAATTTATGACAAGGATTTTAGAGCAGTTGTAATAAAAAAATTACTTCAATTAATCAAATTCTTTGAAACCA